TAGTAGGCTGCCCCCAACGCCAGGTTGAGAACAGCTTCCGTGGGAGACCTCCGGCAATCAGAATTATGAATTGCCCACCGTGGGACTCGATACCACGACCACAAGGTTAACAGCCTTGCACTCTTACCAACTGAGCTGGACGGGCAATTCATAACTGAGTTCCACATAATGTACCCAAATTCAAGCACATAAAGAATGGGCTTTACATAAATTTTCAATAGCGAAGCCATTAAGAAAGATATTAATGTAGGATTCATCATGATTTTCCTTTTCCTGCATGATGCATCTTTAGTGAAACTGAGAATGTAAGAAAACATACGAAAAACTATTGCTTACATTTCATGGCAGGAGCCTTGGTCACTGCCTTTGACTCCTCATGTGCATCCTGCACAGAAAATGCAACATAAGAACATCTTAATCAATACTCAATATTGTTGCTTACAAGATTCATCATTCACAAATCATCTGCCAAATTATGTTTAAGCAAGTTTCACCTGATAAGTGTCAACCAATGTACAATTATCTTGGGCATGAATTCATTAAACAAGATGAAAATACTATGCAAAGTTATACTGGAATTCAACAAGATAGCATAGACTCCATCATAATCTCACACTTTAGGCCTAATGACTAGAGAGAGAGTAGGATCCTAATGCTTCTGAATGAGGACTTTGAAAATCAAGGAAACACAACAAAAGCTGAACAACTTTAAAATCGGGAGGGGAAAAGACCAACTATATTACGATTCTAAAATTGTCCAACAGAATACTAGTTTTTCTTTCGTTTAGTCTAGTGCTTTCAGAAGGACTAAACAAGTAAGAAATCCTCAACGTTTCAGTTGTGCAAAGAAGAATATTGAAAAGTTGCTAAAATTCAGAGTAGTGAACAAAACAGTAAAGACAGATAACTTGAGGATTCATGAAGCTTTGGTATTACGTAAGTAGTAGGAAAAAGTACTAGATCAGATACCTGAAGCTTTTTGAGTAGCTTATCCAGCTTCTCATATTGTTTATCTATCTCTTGAATCTGGCAAAGACAAAGGATTGTGTGAGAACAATGATTCAAGCCATGCATTAGACCAAAACAAAGAACTTAAATCCACCTACGGAATAAATATTATGGCAAGAAACACAAGAGGACAAATAAAAGTTGAAGCTTTGTTTTATATACTTCTTCTTAGCAACACAGAACAATTATATCAAAAAGTCCAGAGCACCTTTTTAAAGAAATTTTGAAGGCCTAGCTCATCTGCATTTGTTTGAGCTCCTAATTCAATATCCCCACCATGAGATCCTTGACCTCGAGGGATCTCGAATGACTCCTGCAACAAATATAAAACAAGTAAGCAAAACTAAAGTCAACCAATCTATTCTAATAGTTACTAAGCATAATTCAAGAAAGATCAACCCATCTGGTCATTCTAAACAAATAAAGAAATTACAGAGATACTAAAAACAAATTTATAGACAGGAAAGTAAGATTAAAAAAATGAAAATAAAAATATAAAAACTATAAAAGAAAAATGAAGAAAAAATAATTTCTTTCACAAGCTTAAGCTATAAGTTGTAGTAATCTAGCCTTCCAATCCTACAACCAATTAGTTAATTTAAAGAAATTTCTAAATAGATCTGCATTCTGCTTGATTAAGCTATTACAGTATTAAGCTCACTAGCATCCTAAATAATAGTATTCAGCATTCAAAATTCTCAATTCACTTAACTTTCCTACACTTTCGCATTCCCCAAACAGAAGAAACCAAAACTAAAACCCCATAATAATACTTCTGTTTTCTATTTTAATCACGTTCCAAAGAAAATCTTACAAAAAATGCAGCTATCGTAGAAGTGGTAATAATAAGCTTAGATCCTAACATAAACAAAAACAGCCAAAACAAACAAATCTACATAAATAAACAAAAAAAAAGCTCCGACAACAGAGCAGAAAAAGAGCAGAGATGAAAGGGATAAATACATTACCGAAAGCAGGTCGTTCATTGGGGAAAGATGAATGAGGTTCAACGAAGCTTCAAAGAGAAGAAAACAAGATTTCAAAAGAAACGAAAGAAAGCAGATAATCAAGAGATCTAAAAAAATGTGAATAATAGAAACTAAAAATTCAGAATAATTAAGACCTGGTTTCAAAATAAAACCAAGTTTTTTTCTAGGGTTTCAGATTAATCTTCAGCGATTTGTTTCGGCAGAGAGGAAACCGGAGGTGCGGTTGGGAAGGTGTGAAAAGTAGCTGCACATAGAAACGTGGGAGGGGGAATTATTGAGTGGAATGAGTTGTAGGGAATCTTTTTAATCATGGGCGGTGGAATCTGTGGGTCTCCTACGATTAACGTTAACTATATGGTTTCTGTCTTAATTTTTTTCATTCTTTAAGCGGAAACTGGGGCTTCACTTGTCTGAAAATCTGTTAATTGACGCCCTTGTCAAAATGACGAGTATTTAATCATTCTTGTATTTGTTAAATACTTTTAATCTTATTTGAGGTCCTCAAACTTTTTAAAAAAGTTAATATAATCCTTCAATTATTTTTATATTTAATATGATCTTTAAATTCATGAAAAAAATATTAAGGTAAATTTTTTTATCGACGATTTCCTTTATTGACTGATATGATAATGATGTGATAGTTAAAAATATTGATGTGACATTCTATATTAACCGATGACATGATAAATAATGTGACAAATGAATTAAACCAATTTTTCATCGAATTCAAAAAATAAAACTGATTTTTTCAAAGTTTAAAGACATTTTTAATTATAATTACAAATTTATCTTAGTTCCGCTATTACATAGAGAACCAAACCAAAATGCAGCCACTTATTTTGAAATTGGCTTTTATGTTCCACACCTTATCAAACGTTTCAAATATGTCAATGCTTGGTTGATGGATGGTACACACAATCGTTCTTCCAGTTTTCATTATATTGTTGGAAAAATAAAATGTTGCAAAACAAAATATTAGTATTGGTTGAGAAAAATAATAGAAACAAAATAGATCGAGTTATAATTGTATTGTGAAAGAATCGTTATTTTAGAAGGAAATTTATCTTAAATAATGTAATTGTTAAACTGTTAGAAAGTTGGTTATTTGTGTTGCACTGTTACAACTGTAGGAAGTTGATAGAGCAGACGGTTAGCAAGTATGGTCTTCTTATGAAGATATTAGAGCTTGAAATCAATAAACTATGAGAGCTGTTGATTTAGGGGTTGCTTAGATGTAAAGGAATTGTTTATATATTTTTAATTAGTTATATTTTTTTTTGATGATATATATCTTGAAATTTTATTTGTGTTTATTCTATTTAAAAGTTTCATATTATTAATATATGTATGTCCAGTTTTAAAAATATTTTTAGATTGGTCATTGTATTTTGTATATAGCAGAGTTCTTCTTCTTAGATTATAAAATAAACAATTATCTGAAACACCTCCCCTAACATAAATTTGATCTATTTAAAGTTTTCTTCTTAATTTTTTGAATAGTCTGGGGTGATTACAAGATGATATTTGTTTAGAATTTTCTTAGTCAATTGATAATGCACATACTTTACAGATACAATTGTTCAAACCTAGAAGACTAAAATATCTAAGAAAAATAGCATTCATTTTTATTACTAAGTTCACTTGATAGGTTTAGTCTTTTCTTAATTAAAACCCCTAATTAACTAAAAAACGCACATTATAATTATAATCATATATTGGACTCATAAATATCATAATCAAAGTCATAAATTTTACTTGATATGATTAAAACTGATGCAATGCTTGATCAAGCTTATTTGACTAGTTGATCAAGTTGTTCATCTTTATTCTATTATATTTTCTTAGGTCATAGTTTCTACACCCACTAGGAGCATCTCTTTATTTCCTTTAAATCCTCATTCTCTTCCCCTCTAGATAGGATTAGGATTAGATTTAAAATTTGTAAAATAATAATAATAATCCAATGCTTCAAAAGTCGTAGTTAACTCATACATGTTTTAAAATAAAGAAGAGATATAGGAGAGAAAATAGAGATAGATGTATCTATATTTATCTTTTGATAAGTACATGAACCCCATATATATAGGGGTGATGAATGTTCTCTAATAATTATAATACATGTGAAGAGTTAAGTCCTTTGGCATTTCATCTTCTCAATTCATTGAATATCCACGTGAACTTTCGATTATTTTTGCATCATAATTGAACCGGGATGGCCTAACCTGTCATGCCAAACAATAAAGTTATCACTGAACTTCTGGTTTACTATAGCATGTGTTTCTATTGAATTGGTCTTTGTGTAGTACAAACTAGTAGAGAATGTAGACAACTTCTTAAGAACTTGTTTATTGTCTCAATATGATATCCATTTTGGCGAATATCTTTAAAACTCAATAAATTTCTTTGAGACTTAGGGGAATATAATGCATCAATGATTTTAAACTTTGTTCCCACTGGCAATATTATATTTGCTCTTCCAGAGCCTTTTACAATGTTTGTACTACCAGATATAGTGCTCACACTTCCTTTTTTTATTATTAAGTGAGAAAAATATATTTTATCTTTGAGTATGGTGTGAGTAGTTGCACAGTTGTTAGGCATAAATCTTCATCATTCAATATAATTGCCTTTGAGAGGTATTTATAGTGTTCTTCAAAAAAAATAGTCAATAAAACAATTATAATGTCTAAAACATATATCTAAATCCAAATAGTTAAAATATCCGACGATAAAATGTCTCATAAAAGTAATAATAAATTGTCGCTCAAAACATAAAATATAATAATAAAATCCATAAATTATATCCTAGATAATTAAAAATAAACATAAGTTGATACAGTTTAGTACAATCAATGAAAATTTGTGGACTTAATTATTTACTTATGGAGTAAAATAAAAATCAACAGTTTCCAAGTGGGTTGTATTGTTAGCATCAAAACCACCTTCGCCATATTCATACATAAGATTTGTCTCTATTTTCTTTCCCTTTTGTTTTAGTGATTGCTAATAAAGATCAACTAGGTGCTTTTGAGTACGACATAGACGTGACCAATGACCTTTTCCTCCACAACGATAACATTTATTGGTCACATTGTTTTCCTTTTCTTTCTCATACTTGCTTTCATTTTTACTATCCCACTTCCAGTGGGAATATGAGTTTCTAAAATGACCACCTTGACCATATCTATATCCACGACCACATCCGTGACTATAACCACAACCATGACCACAGCCGCTTCCATTACCATTGTCATTGCCATGGTTTGTTTCTTTCAATTCTTGTCCATTTTTAGTTGTCACATTCGCTTCAGGAAATGAAGCAGAACTAGTTGGGTGTAATTCATGATTTTTCGTTAGTAGTTCGTTGTTTTGCTCAGCCACTAGAAGACAAGAAATTAATTCAGAATATTTCTTGAATCCCTTCTCACGATATTGTGTCTGTGGGATAATATTATTTGCATAGAAAGTGGAGTGTGTTTTTTCTAGCATTTCTGCATCAGCAATTTTCTCTCCACATAAATTCAATTGTGAAGTGATTCTAAACACGACCAAGTTATAATCACTAACAGATTTAAAATCTTGTAATCTTAAATTCAACTAATCATAACGAGTTTTAAGTAAAATTACAGTTTTCTGTTGGTCATACATTTCCTTTAGATTGATCCAAAGGATTTGAAGGTCTTTAACAGTCAAGTATTTAGTCTTAAGACCTTCATAAAGCTGATGGTGAAGGAATATCATGTCTTTAGACTTATCTTGAGTTGTTGCTTTATTTCCTTTCTTAATGGTCTCACCAAGACCTTTTGCATCCAAGTGAATTTCAACATCTAGTACCCACGATAAATAGTTCTTTCCAGTGATGTCCAAGGCCATAAATTCAAGCTTTGTAAGATTTGACATGACCACTATTATAATTAAAAAAACTAATTGGGTGAATGTCACTTACTCATATACATACAAAAAATGTTAAAACCATGAAAATGAAATCTTAAAAATGACTAAATAATAATTAAAATGATAAGGCATATATAAACTCTAATCCTAGTGGTAGATGATAAGAAAGTCAAATAACAAAACATGTTTTACAAGTTGAGCTAATATATACAATATATCTAGATTAAATCACTATTACAAACAAGAGAATTGTATATTATAACAAATTCATATGAATAAAGTAATGGACAAGCCTTAAATAATACACAGTAAAGGAAAACATAAAATAAAACTATTCACACATTCCAAAACTAAAAAAATCATGCAAAGTCATAAATCTCTTTATAAAGTAAGTGTTACTTAAATAGTAAATCTCAATGAAAGAAGTCACGTCACGTGTCCTATTAACAATGATGGTAGATTATACCCTAATAGATGCTAGATTATGGAGATCTACACACCTGAGTGAAATTGGTAACGTTGGGTTCACTTTTGTTCAGTCTTGCCCAACAATATTTTCAGATCGTGCTGAAAACATGTTTTAAAATAAAAAAGAGATATGAGAGAGAAAATAGAGATAGATAGATGTATCTATATTTATCTTTTGATGAGTACATTAACCCCATATATATATATATATATATGGGTGAGGAATACTCTTTAATAATTATAATACATGTGAAGAGTCAAACTCTTTGACATTTAATCTTCTCAATTCATTGAAGAATGCTAAAAGCCACAGTAATTAAGAGGAGTAATAATGACATCCACATAATATATTCATAACAAGACACACTTTGGTACATTAATCATTATTTGGATTATCTTTAAGATTCAAATGATGTGTTCTAAAAGTTGTATGAAGACATTGTGGCCTAATTGCACTGAGATCAAAGGCATAATCTCGTCCTAGTCCAAATATTTGTCCATTTGATGCTTTTGATATTGAGTTTTAACCGGTCCACAAGACTTTTCTTTCTTTAAAATTAGGGTAAAGTATACAAATGGTATACAATATTTGTAACATCCTCCATGCCGGGTTAGTGATTAAATTGCAAAGTTTCAACATTTGATGATTAAAGTAGAATAATTATATAGTTTAAAAAGTATGGTTAGTAAATATGAGATGGAGGTAGGGACCAAATGGTCATTTGCAAGGAATTTTTAATTAAAATAAAATGTTATGGGGTATATGAGAACCACGTGGAGTATTAGGTTCCAGAATACTCTCATTCCTTCTTTCTCATTTTCTTCTCTTCCTTCTCTCAGCGTGTGGCTTGCAATTAAGGTAAGAATCTGAACTTGGTAGTTTCTTTGATGTTTTAAGATTGGAAATGAAAGCTTGGATGTTATATAAGCTAAAGGAAAGCTTATATGACATTAAAACAACAAGATTAGTGTTTTATAGATAGATTTGGAAAATGAGTTTTTAGATGAAATTTTGATATGGATGAGTTTTGATGTTTGAATCAGATTTTTGACTTGTAAATAAGCTAATTAAGAAGTATGAGGGGTTAGAATTCAAATTAGAACATATTGGAATTTGGGTTGGATTCTTAAATGCTACAGGGAGAATTGGATTTCTAGGTTTTAGAGGTATTTAATGGATAATAATTAGTTTAAGTAAGCGTATAAGAGCTAAGAGTAGTAAAGGGATTGAAATATGTAAGTTTGAGCTGAAATGGGATGATTTCCGAGCTCAAATTAGGATTTTCGGGCTAGGGGAATCGGTACCCATTCAAGGGGAACCGATACCCCTTCAACGAATATGATTTCTAGAATGCTAGAGGGGAATCGGTACCCCCAGGGGGGGAACCGATACCCCCTCATCGTATATGAAATTCCAGATTGCTTGAGGGGAATCGATACCCCCAGGGGAGGAACCGATTCCCCCATGAGAAAAAGAAGAAGAAAGAAAATAAAGCAAGACTAAGCTATAAATTCTTTAAATTAGTAAGCTATTAAAGCTTAATTGCAAGACATAGACATCTGATGATCATCTTAAAAATTATGTTTATGTAGATACCGAGCCTACTCGAGTTCGGGAACAATCTACAAGTAGAATCGATCGAGGAAAAGGCAAAGAAGTATAGGTGAGTGCATATGCATAGCATGAATATAGTAGTATATTCAGTTCTAGACTTGTGATAAGTCTAGATTCCATATTTTGACATATGATTACATTCCATATTATGATACATGACATGAATTTGTATTAAATGTATTACATGACATGAATTCATATTATATGTATTACATGACATGAATATGCAGAAAAAGTTATATGCACTATGTGATAAAGGTATGTAAATGATATGCCTATGTGTTAAAGGTATGGAAATACTATGTCTACGCGATATGAACTACGGGAAATGTATAAGCCCATGTTATGTAGATGAGAACTATAGGTATAGTTGGCATGCCAAGGGTAGAGGGTATACTCGGTTCTTTAGGACATATGTATATCCTTTGGAACCTGTGTGAAGTCTTGAAAGACACATACTTGATCCATAGTATATGTATATGATTCTTAAGGAATTCTACGTGGTCCTTATGGACATAATTCTACGGGCACTTCGGTGCAATTCTACGGGCACTTCGGTGCAATTCTACGGGCACTTCGGTGCATTTATACGAGCTGTGGTGACAGCATAGTGCACAACCTCACATTACTCAAATACCTTAGGTTCTCAATATGCTATCATGGGCCAATAAACTTATTAATACAGAATAATGAATGTTACAGTCATCCGCTTACAGGTATGGATATTGATGAAGTATACTACATTGATTAGTTACATGTTTGCATCTCATCTCATATGATCCTGACATTTTCATTACATTACATTGCCTTATTATTGTTGCCTCACTAAGTCGATGACTTAGCGTGTGAGTGTTTCACACGTAGGATCCGAGGAAAATAGAAGAGACAGGTGAATCAGCTTGACAGTATTACTCCTGCAACCATCAGATCAGAAGCAACTTAATCAGTAGGTCATTTTGCTATGTAAATGACAGTTGGCATGTAATTAAAGGGTTAAGTTTGTGTATGCTCTGAATATTTTGGTAAACTTATATTACAGTATGTATATTATGGTATTTTCTTAATATAAGATCAAATATTTTACTATTATTTATTAAGAGTTGTGTTTTAAAGTCAATGTAGTATCTCTGACTCATATCCGGGTCGGGTATGGGTTGGGGGTGTTACAATATTGATTCATTAAATCTCTTAATTATCAAAGTTATAAAATAGTCTATTGAATGTAGAGTGTTGCCTTGTTGAGTTTCTCGACTATTAAAAGTTACAAAATAATCACCTAACTATTCATATATTCCAAACTCATCATTTTTTGTTAAAAAATTGACAGTCATCTAAGTTGGACATTAACCTTCTAACTGGGATATGATAAAATCTAATCCCAAAATCGTTTCAGCTTTATAGTTATTTGAGATTATGTGATCATATTTTATCATATCATAGTCAGTAAGTTAACATCCAATAAAGAATGTCATTAATTTTCTAGCAGAAAAATGATGAGTTTAGAATATATGAATAGTCGAATAACCATTTGTAACTTTTAATAGTCGATGACTCAACAAAATAGTGATATATAATCGAGAGATCATTTTGTAGCATCTAAGAGTTGAGGGACTCATCAAAGCAGAGCCCTATAATTGGGGGACTATTTTTGTATTTTATCCTTAAAACTATTATTTTTCTATTAAAACTTACCTTTAAAATATTTAAAAAAAAATAGATATATGAGCATGTGGTAGGATGTGGTTTATTATTTATTTAGCGTGTTTTCACAGTTAAATCACAGATAGACGGTGTGTTGTTTGCGCGTCACCGATACAATTTAATACCAAACTTTTTACCCTATATATTACACCATCACCCCTCAGCCTCTAGTGAATTCTAAAGCTTTCCTTGTCTTCAAAATCAAGCAAGACAGAAGTTTGCCTCTGCCCTTCTTACCAAATTCCAAGGTACATGCATTTTTTTATGTTGTTTTCTTTTTCTTTATGCTTTTTAATATATAATATCCAGATTAGTGTGAATGTATTCAAGACTTTATTTCTTTTTAATTATAGTGCATCAACTTTGTTGGTTGGATGGTGTTTACTTATATGCTATGTTTCTTTCAGCGGATTCACAATGTCTGTACCGATGCAAGATACATCTGGACCTGTCTTTGGTGGGGAAGACAAGGTCAAGAAGGAAGAAGTGCACTTCAAAGTCAAGTCCAAGAATATGGAGCCGAACCATGACAAAGAAGAGAAGATCGAGGTCGAACTTGAACTGAAGACCAAATCAATCGAGAAGATAAAACTGAAGAAGGGGGGCGAGGAGAAAGAAAAAGAAAACAAGCATAAAGAAGTGGTTGAAGAAGATGGAAAAAAGAAAAAGAAGAAAGAAAATAAACTGGATAAAGAAGATGATGACAAGGAGAAGAAGAAAAAGGAAGAAAAGAAATCAGATAAAGAAGATGACAAGGAGGAGAAGAAGAAGAAAAAAAGAAAAGAAATCAGATAAAGATGACAAAGAGAAAAAGAAGAAGAAGAAAAGCAAATCCAAGAAGGATAAAGACACAGAGGAAGAAGATATTGAGGAAAAAAGAAAAGAGAAGAAAGGGAAAAAGAAGGAGAAGAAGCACAAAGATGAAGAGGAAGAAGAGAAAGAGTTGAAGAAAACACAAGTTGAAGGGAAGGATCTTAGCAAGCTAAAACAGAAATTGGAGAAAATTAATACCAAAATTGATGCTCTAATTCAGAAAAAGGCTGATATCTTAATGCAGATTAAAGAAGCTGAGCGAAACAACAGTGAAGCTGCTGCTGCCTAATTAAGTGTGTTTCATATCCTCTCATATGAAAAAGATAGCTGCAACTTTATAAGATTTGTAGCACTCTAAATAAAACCATAAAAGGTGTTCTGGGTTTGTAGTCTGGATTCGAGTTTTTTTAAGTATCAACTCCATATAGTTGGAGGAAACATCAACCATTGCTTCTTTGATTCGTACCATAATTTGGAAGTCAAAATCGATGTAGCACAATAATTTGGAACCGAAGATAAAGAAGCCAAAAAATTAAAGACTCACAACATCAATTTTGACTTCCAAATTGTTATACAGAATCAAATAATTTGGAACCGGCGACTACGTTGAAGGATACTCTCTGTGTGGCTTAATCAGAATATTCCAAGTTGTCCGAGCAATAGTACACTCACGAAACACATGAGAGATTGATTCTAAGGCCGCACCACAACAGCTATAACTCCCATCATCCGTCATCTGCCTTTGAACACGCTCCACATTTGTCAATAACTGACCTTGGCAAATAAACATGCGCACCCTAGGCTACCATTTGTAAGTTTTAGAGCGATGGTTCTTATCTCAATTTCATTGATGTGATTATGTGATATTGTAGATGTGTTTTTTTTTCATTACTAACCGTCGTGTGGATTGTATGTCGTGGTCGGATTAACTGCTGATTGTTTGTGCTCTATGACTAGATATGGAAGATTTTGGTCTGTTTTGTTGTCTCCTCTTGTTGCTTTGTGTTTTTGGTTAGGCAGGTTTTGAGTTCTTTTGCTTTCGTGTAGAACTTTTGATTTTCTATTGGCATTTTGCCGAATTACTTTTATTAATAAAAGTATTTTAGCTCTGCAAATTTTTTATTAATAAAGGAAGTCAAGAATTTTAGATTAGATTTGTGGAGTATGTGACATTTTTCGATAAAATTGAGATTGATCAGTGTTTAAGAGGTTAAAAAGGAATGAACTAAAACTTTATGAACCAATCGATAGTGAGAGACCTTGATCAAATCCATTTAATTTTTATCTAAAAGTCAAAAATAAAATTGATATTTTCTTCCCTTTAAAATTCAGAGATTAAAATAGTGTTTTATCTAAAATTCAGAGGTAAAATTAGAAATTAAACCTCTTTACAAATGTATTATATCACCAAACTAACTATTTTAAAGTCTCGGGAATCAAAACGTTATAAATTAATAATATAAGTGACTAAAATGTCCATCCCTGAGTATAGCTCCATCCATAGGAGTTTTGCACCAGAAATCACATGGCATAGCCGACCAAGAAAACCTATAAATGCAGAGAAGGGATGACTTACAAAGAGAGGACAACGTATGTATCAACGTGTATGGATGCTTAGAATTTGGAAAAAGAATGATTCTCTTCAATTTCCAAAGGAAACTCCATTTCCCCCCCCCCCCTAAAATATATATGTAATGAAGGATCAGTGTCTTGCTCTCATTGTTCTAATTTAGCAAACCACAAAATGTCTCTGTCCTACCAACAGTGTGAGCCTGAGTTCCAATACCACAAAGGAGAAGATCATGACATTGTTGAGTTTCATGTCAAAGGTAACACATTTCATTTTTACAAACTCGGATTTCAATCCAATTGATCATTTCAACTTAAGATGAATGCTTCTCTTTTATATAATTAGACTGATCTATATGCAAAATGTTGCTAGATTTTAGAAAGGATCAACTCAGAGTTCATATGAGCCGAAATGGGGTCCTAACAGTTTCCGGCGAACGCCCTCACGACGGAACTAAAAGGATCAGATTCCACAAAGAATTCAACCCTCCTAACGACTGCAAGCCGGACCAGATTCGAGCCAAGTTGAGTTCGGGCGTTCTTTTTATCACAATACCCAAGAAACGACTCTCGCCGCAATCTCCCGGACAGGATCCTCAAACGCAAGTGCATCGAACCTCTAATGGAAACGTTGCACTGCCAAAAATTGAAACCAAATCGTTTATTTCAAGGCTTAAGATTAAGAGAAAGGCAGCAATGAAGGTTGTTGCAGGTGTTGCAATGCTGTCATTAATGTTTATTGTGGTGTTTTATGTGTACAAAGTTTATGCTCCCGTGATTATGCATATTTAGGAACAGCAAATCATTGTCGACTTGTTTCCCTGAAATGCAAAAATTTGTTAAGAAAATAGCGATCAATAACAAAAGTTTTTAACTTGAGAAATGAAAAGTATTCATCTGTACCTTTCAAATATTCCTTCTCAATGGAAAAGCTTAAAATTATATTAATTAGAAACGCTTTCTTAAATTAATTTAATAATTAATAAGTATTATTTAGGTAATATATTTTTCTACATTTCGAATTGCAAATTCACATGACTGCAAGGTACACATGATTTACTACAAAACCAAAAAACATGCAACGAGTTCTGTCTCTATCGTTAGCATGTAATAACCATTTTTGTCCGCCCCACTTACTTATTTAGCCCATTTTAATATCTATTCCAATAAATAGATAATTATATTTTGTTTACATTTTTTACACAGTCCAAATTATGTTAAAAATGGGCCAAGCAAGTGACCTAAAGCCCTGGGCCTCGTGTATGTAACACCCTAACTCGATCATTATGTGAACGACTTAAAGTGTCGCACTAAACTACTGAAACAACCGTCAAAATTTTAAAATTTCTCTTTTAAAAATTAACATAATTCGTAATATAAATAATTTAAATCGGTTCAAATAATTTATACAAAATTGATCTTCACGACCGTTTGATGTAAACTCAATATTGTATGAATTAAATAGTGTACATACCAAATCATAATAATAAGGTCCTATAAATATATATATATATCCACTATAAGTTCAATTTTTTACTCCGATAATCCGTCGGTGCTGGAAATCCGACAGTGATAATACTCCTCAACAATCTAGTTTACTGACATTCGAACGAAAATATACAAACTCTAAACTAACAAAGTTTAATGATACACATATACTTTATTATACTACTTGCAGTTCACAAACGTAAACATGCTAGACAATATAAGCAGAGAGGCATAAATATAACCGTACTAGATTTCGAGGACACATTGCTCACATATATTAAGATTCACACATTAAGATTCATAAACCATCACAATTATCGATCCTTACGCACGACATATACATTTTTACACAATAACACATTAATCACAATTAGAATCAGATATCACATAACGTCTTGAGTAAGGTGTTAGCATTAGTACTCTAGACTTATTATATAGACTTGATATTTTGATTATTGAATTTTTTATTATCATTTACGTGCCTTTTGTATACTAATATCCTTATAATAATACTTTTAATTATTTTAAAGATACTGAATCAGTTATTATTGTGGGAACACTAATAAAATAATACTAGTATGAAATTTGATAGACATTAATGACATGAATATGTGAATGAGATTCAAATCAAATTCGTATGTATTTGTTGAGAAAAAATATTAGATCAACACGTTTTGAGATCAATACATGGATTAAAGTTATATATTAATTTCAAACAATTATGTCATTAAATCCTTAGACCTGAAATTATTACAGTTCTCAACATGATTATTATTATGTTTTGACATAATTAAACATTATCTTTAATCAGACGATTATAAAGGTTATGCTTGAACAATATGATAAGAATCATGTAGTGAGATGTGAGTGATTAAGATTAAACTTATCCCTCTTATCATAAGAGAGATATCTAAGGGGCCCTTGATGATTGGGATTAAGAAATGCATAACAATGCTCAAATGAGTTGATAGAGATCAATTTAATCAGTCCAATTGGGCATCGAGAAATTGAAGATCTAACGGTATAGGGTTGACATTTTTCATGCCTTGTATTCTTAAGATTGTTAAGATATTGTTGGAAAGCTGAGAGGCAATCTCAGTAGCCGAAACCATACCAGGAGTGTCGGCTTTAGATATGATTTCTAACAAGCCAAGATCGACTGCAACTTTCAATGCAAAAGGAAGCGACGAAATGGAAGCCAAATGCATGGCTTGCAATATGTCAGCTTCTTCATGTTCATTAGATGAAATATTTGACAGTGAACCCATTGTTCTTGAATCTAAAGAAAGATGAAGCTTAATTATTACTAAGTTTTGATTCACATTATTCTTCTACACCCATCCCCATTTTATAGTAAACCCATGGTGCAACTGGCGTAGAACAAGTCAACAGAAAGATACTGCAATATCATATTAACAGATGAAAAAGACTTTGTTCATTTTTCAAAATGGAGGCTAAATGACGTGACCTGCTGTTTTTTTAAGTCCAATACAAGAATCGATTCCTACTTGATTTATTTCGTTTTCATTTGAATTTTCCCTTACTATAATTTGACAGAGTTTTGATGTATTGTTTTTATTTAAAATAAAAAAAAAATGTTCCTTATGGATTGCATGGATCTATGATTATATGCTTTTTAAGGGCTCCACTTTTTGGCAGGTGAGTGAGCCAGAGTCCAGAGACCATATTTTTTTCTGGGTGCTCTTGTTCCAAATTTGTATGGTCAAGTGTTCTTCATATTTATCATTTGCACTGAGATGTGAGGGACTGGAGTTAGGAGCTTGCGTAGGCGGTTACCCGTCTTAAGGGTAGATCCTTATTATTGTTTTGCAAATTGCTTGAAATTCTTTTATTTATCATGTTTGGAGGGAGCAAAAATATGTGAATTTTTCAGCAATTTTTTTTTCAAAGACAGACTAGAGTTCATTGTATTAAGGATACTATAAGAGGTAGAGTGATAGGATTGCCCTTGAGTAGAGTTAATCCTATCAATATAATTCTTTGTATAGAATTGAATATTGTATAGGGGTTGGTTTGTTTGGTTCGTTGTATAGGTTCAGCCGATGGGTTGTATTATTTTTTTTATAAATAAAAGCACACTACATTTATCTAAATAAAAAAAATTAAAAAGTTGAACCATTAATTGAGCACACATATAAATAATGAGAAATCAAACGATATTCACTAAAAAATAGTTAATATTGATCGTATATTACACTCATCTAATGGTCCTAAATTTGTGTAAAACTAAAAAAAATGTATTGTACAAGTAGATCCTAACCTTATATAAATATACAAATATAATATAAATAAAGAATAAATATACAAATGAGTATACATTATATTTTATATAATTATACTTAAATTCTCCATAATTGTTTAAAGTGTTCTTATTATTAAATTTGAATCAAATCCGTCATATTATAGTAAACCCATACTACAAGTGACGAGAGCAAATCATTAAAAAAAAGACTCCAATATTATACTCCATTATATTAACAGATGAACAAGTCATTTTCAGAAATGGAGGCTAAGTTGGTTGCTAAAGGTTAAAATTTTATATTATGTCTCTTTGAATAAATATTAGGGTTATTATCATGTGCTTGATTAGATCATTACGAGCTTATTTTCATACATTATCAACGACTTTTCTACATGCTTTTTATATTTTATAATAGTCATTTATGATAATATTGATAACCATGACATAGTTTTTAAATTTTTAAATTTTTATAATGAGCAATACATTTAGTCAGTTCATCACATTGCTCTTCTTTATTTGCTTATAATCCTTTCGGTCATATATTATAGACCTAATAAAAAACATTTCTCTTATTTCCCATAGGGTTCCTCTTCTCTTAATAAAATTATATTTTCCCTAAATTAAATTGAGATTTTAAATTTTGATAAAATATAAAAATTAAATCCTAAAAACACTCTATTCAATTTATTTTCACCTTTGCATTTACGTTTCACCTCATAAATTAAAACAAACATAATTTTCATAATTAAACTCAAAAACTTAATTAGAATATGGAGGAATTAATTATAAAATAATTATAACCTATCAAAACTCTAAATTACAGCCACAAACTTAATTAAAAAATATTTACAAAATCGTCACTGAATTTTTGGACTTAAAATTGGGATGAATGGCAAGACCTGCTGTTTTTTTAAGTCGAATAAAAGAATCGATTCCTACTTGGTTTATTTCGTTCTCATTTGATTTTTGCCTTCCTATAATTTGACAAAGAGTTTTAATGAATTTTGTTTTATTAAAAATAAAAAATAGATTGAGGAGGTGGGTACACCTTTAAATATATGGTATAGATTGTTAAATTAGATTAGATAAATAATAAATAGTAATTTTGTAATTTCCTTGACTGGAAACGATAATTAAAATATAATATAAATATGTGTACAAATTTAAAATTTCACTACAGTAAAAGTGGCTTGTTGCGGCGTTTTTTTACTTATAGCGGCGTTTTTAAGCGTCGCTAAAAGCACCTACGGCATAAATACAAACGCCGCTAAAAATAGCGCCGCTAAAGTTTACGGCGTTTTTCAACAAAAAAATGTCGCAATAAGTGTTGATATTTAGCGGCGTTTTGCAGAAAAACGCCGCAATAGGTGTTGATATTTAACGACGTTTGGCAGACAAACGCCGCAATAGACGTTGATGTTTAGCGGCGTTTTCTTCACAAACGCCGCAGTAGATGTTTATTTTTACCGGCGTTTTTCATACAAACGCCGCAGAAGATGTTGATATTTAGCGGCGTTTTCCTACAAACGCCGCAATATGTCTTGAGATTTCGCGGCGTTTTTATCACAAACGCCGCTAAATGTATGGTATATTGCAACATTTTTTATTACAAACGCCGCTAAATAATACAAAATTTAACAGTTTTAAAAATTATGCTTAATACCCCAAATCTTTTTTTTCAACCTGTTCCATTATCCAACAAACAAAACATCAATAACATCAAATCCAATATAATAAATAAAAGTTTTCATTAACGTAATATAAGTTAAGTTAAACACGGTTCAGTAACATTAACATAATGCTCATAATATAAATGAGGCTACGATGGTGGATTCTGAGGTTGCGTTTTTTGTATCATCAGCATCATATCATTGAGTCATTTTTCAAATTCTTTACCTGATATATTACTTCTCTCTGTTCTGCCGCTGTCTCTCTCTGTGCTGCCACTGCTTCTCTCTCTGCTTCCGCTGCTGCTCTCTCTGCTTCCCTTGCTTCATTTTCCGCTTTCAAGTTAGCCATTTGTTGATCCATCTCAGCCAACTTTTCTTTTAAACGACCAACTTCTAATTGGGAAGATCGAGACTGTGATGACATGTACTGTGAAGAACTGGATCCAAAATATT